AAGAAATTAAAAGACCGAAAGACTTCCAGTCAAAGATGTCAGGGCAAAGATATCTTTACTCTATCTTTCTCTTTCTACCCAAAGAGATGATGGTGGTCGGAGGGGTGAGGGTAGGAGAAGACAAGAATAAAACACAGGAGAAGACAACAATAAAACATATAGCATGATCTTTAGTTACAATGAGAGTTTCACCAGCCACACCTGCCAAACACTATCGAGTGTGGAATGTGACTAGGAATGATGCTGATAGATCTTGTTGGACCATAAACGTGAGTCCAAAATGTTATAGTCCTGAATGTCATATCTAATGATTTTGATTAAAATAATAGCATTTAGAAAACTGGACAGACCTTGAAAGATCAAGGAATGTTCATGTAGAGACCCAGTTAAGCACCACAGAATGACAGAGGAACTGAAGTGAAGGGGACTCATGCAGATATACCAATTCTGCCTTTTAAGGCCCATAATACTGGTCAAAAAAGAAAAAGGGAGGAAAAAAAGGGAGAGAGGTAGTAAATGCAAGAATTTAGGCTTTGCTATGAGCCACCTGACCTCCTGATTGCCAAAAATTGAGAGCCAAGGAAATAAATGATCTGGTGAGAGGTTTTATAAAGCAACTAATTCCAGTGAAGGATGGTGAATTTCTCATTGCCTCCTTCCCTCCAGCCTTCTCTATTCTATTCTTCAGGCTAGCTGGTCCAATTTGAGGATGAGTAATAATCAGAAAGGGCCCCAAAGGACCCACTCCCTACCCCTCTCACAACACCAGCTCCCTTCCCCCCACATACCAACTTGTTTCTTATTTATTGATTTTGTTCGAGGATCTACCACACCCCCTGACACTCAAGAAAAGATGAATTCTTCTGCAGTCTCAAGTTTAGATTGAATACATCTATTCCAGTCATATGGCATTCCTCTGGTGATTGGCATTGATTGGTTCAGGCACATAACCTAAAGGAATAAATTCAATATACATTCTTAGAGGAGAATTCTCTGTGCCTATGGTAGGTATTCAATAAATAGTCATTCAATAAAGTAGAATAAATATAAGTCCCTATTTCCACTGGTAAACTTCTACAACTGTGAGGGGAAACAGCCTTAGGATAAAGGTAACAATGAGTCTGGCAGAACAAAAGCTAGAAAGACCCTGGGTTATGAGCCACTTGTCCTGCAAGGTCTAGAGTTTCCCCTACCTCTAGACTGCTGCTTTTGTGAAATCAATATGTTCGTTATTTCAATCCATTTGAGTTTGTGTTTTCTATTTATTTACCCTGAAAGATGCATAAGCAAAAGGAAGCTAAAGAACACACAAGAAAAATGAATCAAAGAAACATAGGAGCAAGAGTTTAGACAAATTGTTATCTATAATTTCTTTGAGGGTATTGAAAGCATGATCTTCCTAAAAAATAACCTCAAAGATATTTGCAAGTGTTCATAAATGACAAGACAAGTAAAGTAGCAGAGCTCCGGAACACTACCAAACTGAAAGTGATATAAGGAACAGAAAATAGAATAATAATAATTAAAAATCCAGCCAGAGAGATAGTAAATAGGCTTGAGGAAAATACTGAAAAATAAAATAAAGATAGAGAAATTAAAACAGAAAGAGGATATAGAAGTCAAAAGAAATAGAGAAAAATATAAATCATGTGTGTGAATAGAATATTACAAATGGGATAGAAACACATATTTAATTACATAATGGAAAATTCATGGCATAAAGTCTTGACTCAATGTATCCTTTTGATCTGCAGTGACCATGGGAAACTGATTCAGAATAATAACACCACAAGGTGTCCAAGTGTAATTTCCTAAAATCAATAATAGGGAATAATCATACTGGCATCAAAGGCACAAAAGCGTGTCATGTGCGGTGTTGGGAGTAAGGTGGGTTGGAGTTCCAGCTGGGTTCAACCTCCTCTACAGCACCTTTAATACCAATAGATAATATATCAAGAACTATGTAGTTCTGAGGGAGAGAGAAAGTATAACCCAAGCAATTTATGCTGAATTAAGTTATTCTTAAAATACAAATACAACATATACAGTGTATACCCCAGGCCTTTTTTAGAAACACCACTATTTGACAAAGTCAACAAAAAGATGAATCAGGAATAGAGAAACTGGTAAAAGGATTGATGACAAGCTTTGAATCTACATAATTAGAACTTAGATCACATAATTTAAATTTGGGTAATTGAACAGAATGTAAATATTATAATTTTTGGCAATCATAAAATAAAACAAAGATCAACCAAAATTAAGGTGGGGGAAGGTGGGAATAACTATAAACATGCTTGTTTCTCAATAGTCATAATCAGTAATCTTAAATATTTTTTACAGTAGAAGCACATCATTACAAAAAAGAAAGCTGTAAATTCAAAGGTTTTTAAAAAAATTCTTAATTTTGGAGAAATTTTTTAGGAATGAATAATGGTAAAGAAGCACATATTTGTCATTTAGCATTTCTTTCAATTTTACTCCTCGGCTTAATTGAAGTAAAATTAAATTGAATAAATTTTTTTAATTAAAAAAGCATGTATAATATAATACTGTGTGTCTTCATCTATATAGAGAAATGTATGAAACTATGGTCATCAAATGTTGGTTATTATTAATATTTCAGGGTGTTAGATGATTTTTACTTTCTTGTAGGTAAAATTTTAAGTTTTATATATTGCGTGAATATCTTAGACTGAGCATGCATCACTTAGAAAAACCACAAAGGACATTTTTAATAAATGATTTTAGTTGTCTAAGATAAATAAATGTAAAAGCAAAATCATAAATTAGAAAACTGACTGGGGTTTTTGTTATTAGATTGATAACAAAAAGGCCCACAATGTGTCACTTCCTCATTTTTTAAAGTAAAAATCAAAATTGGCAAGTTAATTTAAGAGAGTAAAGAGAATATTCAATCACATAAAGAGAAAATTTTCAAATTCTAAGAGAATGCTAAATAGACTTGCATGTTAATACAGTTTTAGAAGTGATTTAAAAATGGCAGGCAATTACTAGTTAATGACATATTAAAGTAAGTAGAAAGCACTTGTCATAGAAAATCAAGACAGAGACCATCACAGCACAAGCAAATCTACTACTCCCTACTTTAGGTAACTTATTATTTTTTAGGCTGCTTGATAAAAGGAAATAGTTTGAACTGTTATTAATAAACATGACGGGCATGACAAAAATAATGTGTAAGATTTCTTCCTCAAAGACACATGAACCCTGTACTAAGAAAATAATTAATTTCCAAATAAGTCATTTATCAAGGTATACCATAATCTTCTCCTCTGAACTGTGAGAAATTTGAAGAAGGCTCTGACTTGAGTTCCCTTTTTATCCCCCGAGACTGGCACAAAGTCATACATCAAGGATGGAAAGTTAAGAAAAACATAAACACATCTGGCCTACGAGGGCTTGGGCTAGCAAAGAGGATGCCTAGTGGTAAGTCATCTGCTGAGGGCCTATGAACAGGGAGAAAAGGACAGGAGGAACATAATTCTGTAGAAGCATTAGCTCAACAATATGTATTGATGGCTTCCTACATGCTAGGTGCTCTGCTCAACTCTGGGAATACATACCAGCAGAAAACAAAATATAGTCTGAAAGGGAAGAAAGACCTAAAACAAACAATCACACAGATAAAAAGGTAATTACAAAATACAGTAAGTCATAAGGGTTCTATAAGAGAATCTAACAAGGGACTCTAATTAAGATTAAAGTTTTAATTTGAGCATTAGACTGGATGAGTAGAATACATTAGTTGATATAAGCTATGTGATCAGTTATATTAGGTTGATCAGAAGAGAAAGCGACATAACACTTATAGTGAAATTTGATAAAGTGAGGCATTAGCCCGTTAAATGTTGGAAGAATTTTCCAGGCTAAAAAAAAAAAAAAAGAAAAAAAAAAACTGAGGTGGGAAAGTGCTCGGTATTTCGGCAGCACAGAGAGAAGTTGTTTTTGGATTGCAGTGAGTGAGGGTGGTGATGGCATGAGGTGGGTGAGGTGGGGTCATATCGTGGATCTTCTTGTGGTCCATCCCAGTGATCTGGACTTTGTCCCAAGTATAATCAGTGAGTCAGGAAGTGTGAGAAGGACAGTGGAAGGGGCACCCTGCATGACCAAAGACAGCAAGAGGGGTTAGGTACTCACATGAAAAGAAACAGGGGAGAACAGAAGATAAACTTGACCCATTTGTGATTTTGCTAAGTGATTTACCTGGAAGAATGTCCACACTGTTTTACTGTTAATCAACTTTCATTCCATAATCACTACTAATATAATCCCCCAAATAGGAATGATGTCATTTGTGGAGTTAATAGCAATTTGTGTTCTCATGTAGAAATAAAAGTAATATCTCTTATCATGTCTCTCATTCTTGCAGCCCACCTTTCTCAGGCCCAGATCCTATGAAAACCTATAACATCATATTGAGGGGGATTGACATGATAGAATTTCCAAAGAAGATTGCCAAAAATGCTGCTAATTTAATTAAAAAACTATGCAGGTAAATATTTCAACCACATTATTTTTGAAAGGATCGTAATGTGAAAAAATTAGATTACTTAATAAAATTATTATTTTACTTTTAGGGACAATCCGTCAGAAAGATTAGGGAATTTGAAAAATGGAGTAAAAGACATTCAAAAGCACAAGTAAGTGTTCTTTCCTTAGAACTTTAGGTTTCAGAGTTCAGAAAACCTTAGAAGCATTTCCCCAGGGTGGTATTTCTTTAAGTTATTGGTGTATAGCTGATACAATTAGACTATGGAACCTCCAAAAAGAGAATGTAAAATAATCTTTTAAAGGCCTTTCTCATTGTATGTCTGGAACTTTATTTAGATATATCAAACAACCCTGTGACATTCTAAACAACAAATTCATTGAATTCAGTTTCACCCAACTCACACTTAACTAGCATTTTTTTTTTTTCCCTCTCTGGCACAAAGAGGAAATGTGTATTTTTAATTTGGGGCTTCTATTATCCACCAGAATATTAAAAACAAAAGTCCTCCACTATATCATACCTCATTTCCTAGACTAAAGGTAAAATATATTTTTTTAAATTATTTCCTAATTAGATGATATAACAAGAGGAAAAAGTAAGTACAGAATACAGTATTTTTAAAACAATAGCAACATCTTAAATATCAGACCTTTCCTATGTTGGCTGGGATGTTCCAAAGCTAAACTAAGCCCAAACTGATTTGTCTCTATTAGTCTGTTTGTGTAACACTCACAGGAAATTCACATCCCTATCAAAGGAATGTATTTACTAAAATATCTACGAATATCTGAAAGGCCTGCTAAGAATTTGTTGGAAACATTTGCTAATGGTGAAACCCTTCAAAGACATAACAAAACAAAACTAAAGCAAACAAAAAACAACCTTTAGTGTTATTTGGTCCTCATTTACACACAAAAAAGCTATATTTGAAATACCTTCATTCTATTAAAAAAGAAAGGAGAAAAATGGAATATGTAGAGACCAATACAGTGATGTGAAAGGTTAATTAGTTGAGACCATGCACCATGAATGAGTGGCAAAGATGGAAAGTTCATTTTCTGTCCTGACTTTTCATGTCCTGATTCTATCTTTTTAAAATAAAATATCCCCTAAAGCACGGGGCCAAGCATGTTATGACATTTATTAAATTATAATCATAGTGTAGGAACAAAGTCATGCAGACAGTATGGTTG